TCCCCGGGCCGGAGAAGGCTGGACCCCGCCGCCGTGAGGCGCGGCGCCCGCCCGGACCCAGCATGTAGTGCCGGGCGGCTGCCATGAACCGCGGCGCCATGAGGATCCACAGCAGAGGGCCGTTCCAGGGTGAGCCCCTCCTCCGCCGGCGCTCGCGCTCCGGGCGCCCACCGTGGGGACGGGGCTGTGGTCGCGGAGTGTGTTTGCTTTCCGTCCCGCAGTGGGGGCAGGTATTTGGGACGCACCCGTAGTTGGTTCCCACCTGGCGCGCAAACAGGAAAACAGACGCGCAGCTCCACTGTTAATCTTTGCATTCGGTAAAACATTTCGGCCTCGCACGTCTTCCGCGTGCCCAGGTAGCCACCAGCTGAAAGGCGGGTTGTGTTCTAAAAGTTTAAAGCAGTGGATTGTATCCCAGGTGTTTTCGGTGAAAATAATGCAAGGGTGACATAGTCCTTAGCGGACCTTTAAGTTCTTAATTGGACTAGAGCAGTCGCCAGCCCTTGAGAACTAAGTCGTTCTCAATACGTTTGCTTGTGTTGCTGAGTGTTTAACATTTTAAGCACCAATTTTGAGCGTTCGGCAGAATACCAGATCCTCGAGAAATAGAGTAAATACCTCCATGGAGTTTACATTTTAAAGGCTTTGAGGAAAGGTTATATATTTCTGTGCCTTACTACATCCTGCTGATTCAGCTGCTAATTTCCAATAAAAAGTAGGGCACTCTGCTTTTATACTAAGTAGTAGTAACAAAATATGGTTTAAATGTTAATAGCTTAAGTTGGTGTAATGATAAGGATTTCTTCCTTCCTGTGATACGATTATTACGTAATTTTTTTTCCCTTTTTTTGGTCTTTTTGAGACAGGGTCTCGCTATGAAGTTGAGACTGGCCTTGAGCTCACTTTGTAGTCCGGGAGGATTCCAAAAGTCCTCCTGCCTCAGCCTCCCGAGTGCTGGGGTTACAGGCGTGCACCACACCCTGCTCTAAAATATTTTTAAAACGAAAACTTTCATCTGTAAGAAATGATTAATCTAAGGTTTTTTAAATACAGGTGGAATCCAAGTCAAAAATGAAAAGAACAGATCATCTCTGAAATCTCTTAAAAGTAATAACAGATCAGAAAAATCCAAATATAAGCCACTCTGGGGAAAAGTATTTTACCTTGACTTACCTTCTGTCACCATATCTGAAAAACTCCAAAAGGACATAAAGGACCTAGGAGGGGTAAGTGAAAACTATACACTGACCAAAAAGTTAAAATTTGTAACTACTTACCGATATGCAATCATTTAAACTTTTAATTTTGGGATATTTATAAGGAGCCGTCTATTAGCACCAAGCTTAAATTTTTTCAGCTGTTTTTCATTATGAAAAACCATTTGAAGATGGAAGCACATTCACCATGCCACGGGATTGAGTCCCCAAAAGAAGGGATAAGAAATCCATTAGTTTTAACAAATTTTTCTAAACCCCCTTTGTATCTATCCTTTGTTATTACAGAACACAGAAAACCTGTTCACCCACAGAGTTAAAATTGCTGTTGAGTATCACATATATCTTAAGAGATACTCTCAGTGAATGCCAGTGTCATTAAAGGAACAGAATTGAGATTTAAATATTAGGTGAAGAATTCTAAGATTAAGAGTTAAATCTTCTTTTCTACATTATACATTGACTAGATAATTAGGAAATTAACAAACAGGCAAGTCCATCTTTGAAAAGTTATTTTACTTCGTTGCTATTCATTTTGTTAAACTAAAATATTGTAATACCAGTCGCATTTATCACAGTAACCTTATAACTGCATTTCTAAAGGTCATGTTTAAAGGCCTGCCACTATATTGACTGCCACCTATCAAAAGTGAATGGCAACCGGGCGTGGTGGTGCACGCCTGTAATCCCAGCACTCAGAGGCTGAGGCAGGAGGATCATTGCGAGTTCAAGGCCAGCCTGGGCTACAAAGTGAGCTCAAGGCCAGCCTGAACTGTATAGCGAGACCCTGTCTCAAAAAAAACAAAAAAAAAAGTGAATGGCATTAGACATGAGTAAAGAGCCATTCATTTTGGAAATGAAGTTCTTGGGGTCCAGAAAAGTTGACTGGCCCAGTCAGAGTACTATGAGCCTCCTGATTCCTGGAGTAATGCAGCATATCCCAATTCTGTTCCTCTAACAATCACAGGCTAGCTGTTGAATGTAGTTGGACAGCTTTCTCACATGGATTGATAGCCAATTAACCCTGAATCTAATGGTCTAAATCAATGATAATTAGATTTGTGTTTTTAGCAGTATACTTCTCCAGGAAAAGTCATGTTCAGAAGTCCAGTGTGGAAAGCCTGTAAAAAAGAACTGTGGCCAAAACAACAATACAGTGGCGAGGGCAGCCACTTCCCCTGCCCTCTTCTCTTTTTCTCTCCCATCCCTACGGCAGTTCAGGAGGTGCATGCAAGGTGCATTTGAATTTCTTCTGCCATACATAATTATTAAGGAACCTTAAGTCTTTAGCCTAATACAGTTTGACATACTTCAGTGAGCATATTGAGGGCATACTTTCTAAATTTTCTCCCAAATTTGAAGATTTTCTGTTAAATTTGATTGGTTAACTTTTTTCTTTTTAAAAAAATTCTTATTTTACCAACCACTATCTTTCCTTTAAAAGTCAAGAATGTTCATTGCCCGGGTCTTAAATTTCAGTCTCTAGCACACCATTTGTATCACTAAAAAGGTTTTATTATAGATTTCCTAGTGAACTAAAAAGAAACTTTGCTTCTAAGTTTTAGTATTACTAGGAAGTTTTGAGATTGGCCTCTGAATCTGGTGAGGTCCTTTATGCTGTTGGGGATTCTGTGGTCTCCTGGTAGACCAGGTGAGTGAGGCAGATCATCCTAATCTAGATCTGTCCTTTTATAAAGCCACAATGCTGTTGGCTTATGGCCAACCTTGCCCTTAACAGCTTCATTTAACTTATTTTGCAACGGTTCTAGCCTTCAAACCTCCATAGTTGCACTAAGTTTTCAATGTCTTAATACTTCACAGTGGACATTAAATTTGAACATGAGTTTTAGGGGAAACATTCAAACCATAGCAGTGAGGTACCTAGAATAGCTAAGTTTATTGAGACAACATAGAATTTACTAGGGGCTAAGTAGATAAAGGAATAAGGTTACTGTTCAGTGGAAACAATTTCAAGTGGAGATGATAAAAATTCTGGAAATGGATGGTTGCATAACATTGCAAATGTACTCATTGTTACTGAAGTACATACTTAAAATGATTTAAGTTTTAGGTTATTTATATTTTATCAATAAAATGTGTAGGGAATTGGGTTTGTTTGGAAAAATTAGAACCTCTGGCATTGCCAGGGCTTCATAGCTCTGAAAGTGAACATAGTATATGATATGTTTGTGTCATTTCTATTCCTACCCAGCCTTGTATGAATTGGAATCTGGAATAAATAAACATGAATGTTGCTCAGAAAAAAATGATTCGCATTTAGTGAAGATCATATTTCACCATCCAAGTCTGAGTAGTGCTTAGATGAAATTTATCTGTTACAAACTTCGCTTTACTTTTTTTTTTTTTTTTTTTAACAATGCCCTTGAGATCCTATGGAAATTGTAGCTATAGGTGTTAAAATATTTTCACAAGCTGGGCGTGGTGGCACACGCCTGTAATCCCAGCACTCTGGAGGCTGAGGCAATAGAATCCTTGCGAGTTCAAGGCCAGCGTGGGCTACAAAGTTGAGTTCGAGGCCAGCCTCAACTGGGTAGCAAAACCCTGTCTCAAAAAAAAATTTACAAACCTCCCATTTATGTAGATAGAATATTAAGGATTAATAACTTAATAATTTACTTCTGCTTAGTATATAGTGTTTTTCTATTTTAATTTTCCTGACCTTGTATATGGGCAGTGTTTAATGACATGGATTTTTGTCACATATGTTTATAAATTCATGGATTTAAGCAGTTGTTTGCGAACAGTTTAGTGAGGAAATTGTCTTTAGTCTTGCTCATGAGAGTAAAGATTCCTTTCCTCCAGTAATACTGTGGAAAAAGTGTTCTAATTTAATGATTTAGAGCCATGTTGAAAAGTAGTCAAATATGGCCATTTACATTCATTCAAATTAAAAATTCAATAACTTGGTCATACCAGCTACATTTATTTAAGTGCTCAGTGGCCATCTGACAGTTTGGACAGGATAATGCAAACAAAGGACACTTCCATCACTGCAGAAAATTCCAGTGAACATTACTGTTTATCGTAGATTTGAGTCAGACTATCTGTTCAGATTGTTTTATTTACTACTGGTATAATCTTAAGCAACTTCTTTTAAGTTATCTGCTCCGAAAAATAAAATATTAGTGTCATGGATTTGTTAGACTTGTTACATTAAGTATGATGAAAAGCCTTAAGAATAATGTTTGTTACACAGATTTGGTGTAGTCCTTATCAAAATACCATTAGTATACCTCACAGATCTAGACAAAACATTCCTAAAATTCATCTGAAATGAGAAGAGACCCAGAATAGCAAAAGCATTCCTGGACAACAGAGGAAAGGCAGGAGACATCACAATCCCTGTCTTGAAATAATACTACATAGCTACTGTGATAAAATCAGTATGGTAGTGGATAAAAAAACAGACCTGAGGATCAGTAGAACAGATTAGAAGATGCAGACACAGCTACAAACACACTGAAGCTACCTTATCTTTGATAAAGGGGCCAAACATGTTCAGTGGAAGAAAGATAGCTTCTGTAATAAATGGTGCTAGAAAAACTGGCTTTCCACATGCCAAAGACTAAAACTAGACCCATGTCTACCACTATGCACTAAAGTCAAAATGGATCAAAGATCTGAATGTCAAAATAGAAACACTAGTCTACTGGAAGAGAAAGTAGGTAAAAATCTTGAAGACGGGTAGGTAGAGAGTTCATGAACAAAAACTAAACTGCACGGGAAATACTTCAAAGAATTGACAACTGGGATCTCATCTTATTGAAAAGTTTTTGCACATCAAAAGAAATCACCAACAGGGTAAAAAGAAAACCCACAAATTGGGAAAAAATTTTAGACAACTGTCCTTCAGACAAAGGACTTCTATCTAGAACATATAAAGAATTTTTAAAAACCAGCCCCCCCCCAAATTCAAAGACTCAGTCAAAAAAGGGACATCTGAGATGACTACACACTTCTCAGATAAAGAAATACAAATGGCAAATAAATATATGAAAAAATGTTCAGCATCATTGGTCATTGGAGAAATGCAAATTAAAACAACACTGAGATTCCTTCTCGCCACAGAAAGAATGGCTATCATCAAGAAATGAACCAATAACAAGTGCTGGTGAGACTGGGGAAAAAGGAACCCTTCACTGTTGATGGGAGTGTAGACTGGTACCACCACTGTGGAAATCAGTGTGGAGATTCCTCAAAAAACTGGGATTAGAGGTCCCACTTAATCCAACTGTTCCACTTCTGGTTATTTTTCCAAAAGAATTGAAAACATCATACCACAGCAGTATGATGTGTGCACCCAAGTTTATAGCAGCACAATTTGTCATAGCTAAATCTTGGAAACAACCCAAATGCCCATCAACTGAGGAATGAATAAAAAAGATGTGTTTTTATACAATTGAGTATTACTCAGCTATAAAGAAAGATAAACTCAAGGTTTTTATAGGTAAATTGATACAACTAGAAACTATACTCATAAGTAAAATAAATCAGACACACGTGTGAACATTGCATTGTCTCCCTAGTGTAAGAAACTGAAAGACTAAATGAAATCTGAAAGGTGCAATAGATATTGGGAAAGGGAAAGAAACTGCTCGAAAGGAAAGAACAACTAGAATGGGAAAAAGGAGAAAGGAGGGGGGAAAAATACATATATGTATGTATATGTGTATACATATATATATATGTATGTGTATACACATATATATACACAGACACACAAGATAGCTAAGATAATTGTACTACGAATTTCTGTTGGTTTATTGAAAGGAACAGTTAATGCCTAATTGATCAATTTTGCATGCCTGTATCTGGTAATCTGAGCAAGTACTTGGAAGATAACAATATGTAATATAACAACCATTGTTAATTTCCTATCATGTTTTGAAATTCTGTATCACTTTTTTTTATTCTCTTTAAAATAAAAAAAAGTAATGTCTAACACGTGCCATATATAGTGTTGTTACTGGAACTCTTATACTTAGAACTCCAGGTTCAGAAAAGTACAGCAAAGCGCCTGCCTGGCAAGCGCAAGGTTGGGAGTTCGGTTCCCGGTACCGGAGAAAAGCCCCCCCCCCCCAAAAAAAAAGAAAAGTACAGCATAAAACACCACCAATTTACAAGATACTAAATTGCATCAAGTTGAAATTTTATGTTGTGCCTACTGTGTGAAACACCTTATGGTTGGTATGATTTCCTTAAAAATACTTCGTTTTCTTGTAGCGAGTTGAAGAATTTCTCAGCAAAGATATCAGTTATCTCATTTCAAATAAAAAGGAAGCAAAATTTGCACAAACACTCAGTCGAATTTCTCCTGTACCGAGTCCAGAATCTGCATATGCTGCAGAAACCACTTCACCTCATCCCAGTCATGATGGAAGTTCATTTAAGACTCCAGACACAGTAAGTCTTTTCAATATGCCTCGAGACTCTGGGAAATGCTGTGGCCTGAGGACCTCATGATTTTTAAAGGGTAGTAGCAGAGTTCACTTGTAGAGCAGTTATAAAGCCACATATCTGTGACTTTCTAATTTTCAAGGCTGCTGTTTTAGGTGATTTCTTTTTATTAGTTCACTATATTTATACCTTGCTTCCTAAAGTATAACCTTGCACATAGAGATGGCTTGTATTTTTCAGAGTAATTTACAACTGAACAGTTAATAGCAGGTCATTCTTTTAAAGAGGAAATAGGAAACTTTGAAAAAAAAAAATTTCAGAGTAGGAATGAGCAAAATGGCCAAATCTAGCCCGCTTTGTTTTTTTGTATGACCTGCAAACTAAACATAGTTTTTAGATTTTCCAATGGTGGGGAAAAATCTGAATATCATTTCTGACATGTAGATTTCAATTGTCCATTATTAAATGGAACATAACCATACCTGGTTGTGTAAATATTAATTGGAACATAACCATAATATTTGGAACATAACCATACCTGGTTGTGTAAATATTACTTGTGGTTGTGCTTGAGCTTCAGGCAAAAGTCAATAGCTTGATTGAAAATATATGGCCTGCTTCAGCCTAAAATGTGTCTGGCCTTTAGCATAAAAATCCTGCCAACCTGTTAGTAGAAGTCCTGACATCACTTCTTTTACCATCAATCCATTGCCAATAAAGGAAGATACAAAGGACAAATTAAATTGGTATAATTGGTTGTAGAGACGGGAAGAGATAAATAAATAATGTTCAATTTGCTAAATTTTAGATTGAAATGTAATTGCCTTTTTTTGTGTTTTTGTTTTTTGAGACACTGTCTTGCTTTGTAGTTCAGGCAGGCCTTGAATTCACTGTGTTGTGGTCCCATTTTCAAAATATCCTTTTCACACTTCAGAGGCTAATCCAGCAGGATTGCTGCAAGTTTGAGGCCAGCTGGGGCTACATGGTGAGTTCAAGGCCAGCCTGAACTATATAGCGATATCCTGTTTCAAAAACAAAAATATAAAATATCCTTTTCAGTTGATTAGAGAATTAGGGGGAACAAGTAGGAAAATGAGGTACAAGGCAATCGTTTGAGAAAAGAGACATAGAAGAAAAAGATAAGGGAGAAGAGATCAAAGGAGGCATGTATTACATAGTTAAAAGGTTTTAGAAGCAAGGAGACAATCGTGATTAGTTCAAAGTTAATTTTTGTTCATAGCTTTCAGCTACTTTTCATGATATTTAAAAAGTTAAATAACCTGTAAAAATAGTGTGTATAAATGTAAATTGTCTTTATTGTAAATACAGAATTCCAGAGAAACCTGTTTTTTGTGAATAGAATTTACAACTGACTTCTCGAGTCTCAGTCATATATTTACCTATTTTAACTAACATTTCCTCCAGTGAATTACTACTTTATAACTTTTGTGTTTGCTTTTCTTGACTTTTTCAATAGATGTGTTTAAGCAGAGGAAAATTATTAGTTGAAAAAGCCATCAAGGATCATGTGAGTAGAAACTTTAAAAATAACAGTGTATATTTTGTTCTTAAAAAATTGGAAATTCCTCATCTTCCTGTCATTTTTAATAAGGAAAGGCTAAACTGCACAGGTATCTCATTTTCCAAAAAAATAGAATCTGCTTTTCATGGAGAGACATCCCCATCTTGTGGCCTTCTAAAATATTACTGGAAATTTTTGAAATTGCATGCATTAAGTTGTCAAGAAATTGGGGATATATTAAATGGGATTGATTTTTTTTTTTTTTTTTTAGAAATGCCAAAAGACAATGTGCTCATTGCTGTTTTAACTCATAAAGCCTGTTATGAATAACCACCACCTCAGTGGCATTAAGCTTTAATTTTGGGGGGGAAAACTCATTATAAATAATAATTTTCCCAGATCATACCTTTTTTTTTTTTTAAACAGGACCTTATTCCTTCGAATAGTATATTATCAAATGCCTTATCATGGGGAGTAAAAATTCTTCATATTGATGGTAAGATTTTATTATATTGCTATAATACTTCTATTAGTACTCATTTCTGTCCTTTGCTTTCTGAGTTTGTATAGTGAAAATCTTAGAAATAAGGGACATGTGTAATGGTAGTTCCTTCTCTTAAATTTGTTATTCTGTTAAACTCCACAAGTAAAATTGCTAATGTTAAGCTCTGTTTTTAAATAAAGATATTAGATGCTACATTGAACAAAAGAAAAAAGAGCTGTACTCACTCAAGAAATCAAGTACTTCTGTTAGAGATGTGGTATGTTGTCTTCTTTAATTTTCAAAGACGATTGTTTGCTTTTTGTGTTTTTGTATCTGAAAAGTTGTCCGACCCAGTAGAAAATATTATTGCCTCTTAGGCTATCCCAGGGATAAGTTTCTGGAATATGTGCATGTTTCTAAATTTTGTGTATGTTTTTCTTCTTTGAAGTGACACTGCAGAGTCAACCCTTTTCCACCCTTTAAAACAAAAACAATAAAATCTCCCTTGATTCCACATCTCTTATCTACTGTCCAGTCTTTATAATCCTTTTTATCTCTACTACTCAAATCTCTATTTTTATATTTTTCATTCAATTTCTACTTAAAAGATAATGAATCCTGACCAATTTGCCAAATCTGTTCGATAATGATTATATTCATTCTCCCAACTATTGTCCATTCCTTCCTTGAACTTCTCTCCTGGAATTTCTCTCATCTCTTAACTTTCTCTTTGTTCCAGACTTTCCCAGAGCATGCTTTAGCGGTACCCTTTTTTTTTCATTTCTTACATGACTTGACATCCAAAGGAAAATAAATGTCATAAACAGTGTATACAAACTAATGAAGACATAAGTAGTTTGCTATATATTGTTAATGTTCTTTGGGAGAATGACACTTGATCTTTGAATAGGAAAATTACACTTTCTATAACTCCCAATATAGTTTTTTTACTGAGCTCTTTCATCTTTATGTTAATTTTAAGTGTGTTTACTTTCATTTTCCAAGTATTTCTCTGATATTTCTGACATTGGGAACATCTTGTGGGTAGCTTCTGATGGTGGTTTGGTCAGTGTTTTGAATCTTAGTTGTACTTTCAAAAGCCTTTGCTGTCTGCCTTAGGTCTGTCCTTAGCATATATGACTTGTTAAGCCCAGCATTTGGGTTGATTTATATAAACAGGGCTTTTGGGATGTCCATCTCCAGCTTTACTCCTTTCTTAGATTTCCTCTTCACCCCACAAAAACCTTTTCACAGTTTTTCCTGATTGAAATTTCTCAGTTTTAGCTGCCCATGCTACTTTAGAACTACACTTTATAACTGGGACCAAACCTTGGGGCAGAGCTGTAGAAGAAAGAAAAAAACAAAGGTTCCATTGCTATTCTTTGACCCCTGGGACTCTTTTCTTTGTTCTTCTAGGGACAAAGATGAGATTAGTATGGGAGTTTTAACTGCTAGCTTTAGGTAGCTACGCATTGAATATTGCCTATAGTTCTTGGCTATAATCAGGAACACTGATTCCTTTATAGTATATATTTGACATTGATCTGAACTGACAGACTCAAGCAAATTTTTCACTAATTCCTTTGTTCAGATGAACACAAAGTTTTAGATTATTTCATTAACTATAACTTTTTCATATTGATTGATTTCTAAGAAAGCTAAAATAGTTATATAAAGTGTCAGGTAGTTGTAGTTTTATTTTAAAACTGAGCTTGTATTACTAAATTCTTTACCAATGGATAAAATCTGTAATTATCAAATGATCATTGTTTTTATGGTTGAGTTGATTTTTAAAAGCAAGATTTTTTTAATCTTGAGAGTAATGAACAATTGCCATTACAGTTTCCACTATACTTTCAAACCTTGTGATTTTATTGTCTTCTTTTTTAAGGGGAAAGATGTTAATATTGGAACACAAAAAACAAGAAGTAAGTATATGAATATCCATAAATATTTTTAGTTTGCTTCTAGAAAACAAGTAATATATAAACAATTGCTAAAATCATGTCAGTGATTTTATTTATTTAGGAGTTTCTTGGTCACTTTTAGAACATGGGCTTTTATGACACTGTGAAGCCTATATCACCCTTCCCTCCCCAAGAGTAATATCTTTTAAAGCATTGTTTTTAATCAACAGATGATCAAGAAAACTGGTTACATTGGAATTCGTCTATCAAAGTAGTCATTATGAAATAGTGATTACTTGCTTTTTATTGAACAGTAAAAACAAGTTCTAGCATTGATTCTAATTGCTGATGTATACCTCTTTGCCTTACCCGACCCTCCACACTAGGGAGTGAACCCAGAGCCTTTGGGCTGAGCTATATCTCCAGCCCTTTTTCGTTTTTTTAAAATTTTGAGTCAGGGTCTCATGTGTCTTAGTTGCCCAGGCTGGGCTCTCACTCATGATCCTCCTGCCTCAGCTTCCCAGAGTTCTGGGATTACAGGCATGCTCTACTACATCTGGCTTGCTGCTGTAATTTTAAAGTGATGAACATAAATAATGCTTTGAGATACTTGTATAATTTATATGATGTGAAAAATAATTGCTCTTTTTACTGATGTCAAAGTTACTGGCACTGTTAATACTACTGTGACTTGTTGTTTGTTTTTATAATTGCAAATGTTAAATATCAGATTAGTGAAAATAAAAGTGCAGTTTTTTGTTTCAATTTGTGTTCCTTCTCATAAATCCTGGAGCTCCATTCACTTTAAAAATCTCAGAATATGGACAGAGCAAGTGGTAGTTGATGTTCTCTTTGTGAGATTCTGCCATGGCATACCAAGGTTGAGGCCAGAAAGTACAGAGGTGATGGTGTAGCCCATCAGCCTCACCTTCAAATACTTATAGAATAGATCCTGGATTCATGTGTGGCTCTATGAGCAAGTGTGAATATGCAGAGAGAGTGCTGTGCTATTGATTTTGATGAGTACATGAACCTTATAGTAGATTATGCAGAGCAAATTCATTCTAAAACACACAAGAAAATCACTGGGTTGGATTATGCTAAGAGATAATATTACTGTACTATAACGTGTCTCCAACTAGAAATGATCAGTGATTTCAGACAGCAGTGAAGGGGGCTGGGGATTTAGCTCAGTGGCACAGCGCCTGCCTGGCCAACACAAGGTTGTGAGTTCTATTCCCAGTACTGGAAAAAAAAAGACAGCAGTGAGGTGAAGTGGTGGCAATGGCAGTTATGATAAAATGTGAAAAATGTAGCTATCCAAGTGGTTTGCCCTGGGAGTATTTGTAAAACATTTGTTCATATTGTTTTGATTACCTTTATGTTATTACTGGACAGCAATACATGGTTGTAGGGTTTTTATTTTTTTAAAAGAGCAAAAATAGAGTGATATTTGGAAAATATTTCATCTGAGGCTTGAAATTTTAAAACGTGTGTTGTTTTGGGGTTTGGGGCAATTTTTTTTCCCACAGTGGTTTTATTTAGAAGAAGAATCCTGAGTTTATAGTTAACCTAATGTCATGTTTTCTATTTTCTGAAGCAGGAAGACTCAAAAAGCCTTTTGTAAAAGTAGAAGATATAAGCCAGTAAGTATCTAAAGTCAATGTATGTTATTACAGTATCAAATGAGAAAATTCCTAGATATTTAGCTATCTCCATTCATTCCATTAAGGTCCCTTATGCTAAATGTATGTAGCACTGATTCATTTTTGCTCCCACACTGAATTTAATTTCAGAATAATGTAAATATATTTTCAAAGTATTGGGTTTAAGGCAATCATGAGACTAACTCCTTTTTGAGTATTTCAAATAATCATTGTCTGGCTGAATGCAGTACCATGTGATTTAGAACTACTACTAAAAAGTACTGTATTTATTTAAATACGTACATATACTAGGTAGGGTTTAGAAACACAAAATCTAAACGTAGTATCTACTGTGGTAGCTTTCCAAAAATCTACACAGTGGTGAAATACTGTAGAATAATCTTAGTGAAAGCCATAGATTAGTTTAGAATGGGAAAATTACTTTCTTTCAACTTTCCACTTACTCACTTGGACATATATGAATTCTCTTGGGAACTTATTGAAGTGACAAAAGTGTATTAAATGCTTTTTTTAATGAAATGTATTACTGTTAAGAAAAAATAAAATATAAAATTAGATCTAGAGAAGATAACAGTAAAAGGTATCTAGAGAAGATATCCCATGTTCATGGAATGGAATTAATGTTAAGATACTGATCAATACCATCCAAAGCAATCTACATCAAAGTTACACATTTCTACATGTCAAAATACAGTACATAGTGAAAGGGTAACCCCAGGAACAGGAGAAGAGATTTACATGAGAGTAATATCCAGGATATGTTGCGTACAAATCAAAAGGAAAAATCACCTGTATTAGTCACTTTTCTGTCTTTGTGACACCTTATTCAACACCAAGTACTACTCTTAAAGGAGGAAAGGTTTGTTTGGCCCACAGTTTCCAGTGGGTTTAGGCCAAAGTTTGTTGGCTTTAAGGCAGAAACACCTGGTGGAAGAGCCTAGCAGAGGAAAGCTATTCATCCTGTGCCAGCCAAGAAGCAGAGAAAGGAGGGGGCCAGGACAAGAGAGAACATCCCCAGATAGTACTGCTAGAGGCAGGCCTCTAACCAGGCCCCACCTCCTCACAGCAAATCAGCCATGAGCTCATCAGTGGACTAAAGTGAGGACTATGCGTGTATGCTCTAGTTGCCTTCCAAACACAGGAGACATGGGGAAACAAAAACAAAATAAATACCCTGATTTAAAAATGGGCAAAATGCTGGATAGACATTTTTGCAAAGATATATAATGGCTAACAAGTAAATGAAAAGAAGCAGTGTTACCAGTGATTAGGGAAATGCATACCTAAACCACAGTGAAATGCTACTTCATATATTAGGGTGCCACTGTCCTAGGGAAAAAAAAAACTTAAAAAATGAAATTCTGAATGTGCTACAACATGGATGAAATGTCAGGACATTCTAATGAGTAGAAAGATACTGCATTATCCCAACTACATGACACATGTACAATAGTAAAAGTCATAAGAGTAAGTAAACTAATAGTTCCCAGGGGTTTGGGGAAAGAGGAATATGTAGTTAGAACTGTTAAGAGTTTGTAAGCTAAAAAAATAACAAAAATTTGTAAGCTGATGAAGGAAGGAAAAGAGTTTTGGATCCACTAATGGACACAGTTTCATTTTTTGCTATAGGAATGTTCTGGGGATGGATGATGGTGGTGGTAATAGTTATACAGCACTGTGAATGTTAAATGTGCTGAAATTGTACAGCTTAAAATGGTTAAGATAGTAAATTTTATGTATATTTTACTGCAGTTTAAAATCTTCTTAAATGTTAAAATTAGGTCTACAGATTGTTCTTTGAAGGTTCATTGAACCCTACCCAATTTCTATTTCTTTCAAGATTTCATGAATTGTATGGTTTTGAAATATAAGGCTTTAAGACTTGTTTTCTTTCATCATAAACTCATGGTGGTTTTTTTTATTCTTTTAGACTTTATAGGCCATTTTATCTTCAGCTGGCCAATATGCCTATAATAAACTATTCTGTTCAGAAACCTTGCAGTCCATTTGATGCAGATAAGCCGTCTAGCATCCAAAAGCAAACTCAGGTTAAACTAAGGTTAGTTTGAATCTTTACTTTCAGAAAGAATATTCTTTATATTACCATCTCAAGTAATACTTTCTTTACAGACCAACATGTAAAATGGTTCATTCTGTGCGGTGGTGGTGGTGGTGGTGGTGTGTATTTCTAATAAGTATTCTGCGTACTTGCCACTATGTATTTTTGATGCCTATAAGCTAAGTTTGACATCTGAATCTGTTTTAAGTAGGTTATATCTAGACACTTCAGTTTGAGGAGGGGACTTAACATTTCCAGACAATAAAAATGTTGTTTTTCTTGAGCCATCTCCAGAATACTGATTACATTCTTAGTTTGCTTTTAAATTTCTTAAAAAGAAATGTGGTTAAAAGTATTTACTGATAGAAGTCTCTGTAAATTATAGCAGCTTCTGTGTACTATGGGTTAGAAAAATAAATTTTTTAAATTATTCCTCAGGTTTACCAGTTAATTTTTTTACCATGTATTTCTGTCACTAGAATCCAAACAGATGGCGACCAATGTGGTGGAACCCCAATTCAAATCCCATTGAAAGAGAAGAAAAAAAAAGGATATTGTGAATGTTGCTTACAGAAATATGAAGACCTTGAAACTGTAAATGTGATTTAATATTTAGGGATGGCTGATTGTAAAACTGTGAATATATTTTCTGTTTAAACTTTAGCTTCATCTGATTATGGTTTATAACTGGACAATTACATCTTTTTTATTTTTTGGTTTTGGGTTATTCTGTTTTGTTTTGTACTGCTGGGGATTAAACCCAGACCTTCCACTGAACTACATCTTCAGCCCAGAATATTTTAAATTTTAAGAACATAAAGGAAGAGGGGCTGGGGATTTAGCTCAGCAGCACAGTTCCTGCCTGGCGAGGTCGTGAGTTCAATCCCCGGTACTGGAAAAAGAAAAGAAAAAAAAAAACCACAAAGGAAGAAAATAAATACTGAAAAATAATTTTAATCATTCAGTATTGACTGAGCACCTGCTGTGTACTAATCATTGTGCTGGGCTAATAGCATTTGACAAAAAAAAAAAAATCAGTTCCCTACCCTTACGAAAGTTACATTCTGTGGAACAAGAGAGAAAGGAAAAAAAAAATTGAGTATCTAGAGTATATATTGAGTATATACAGAGAATATTAGAACAGTGCTATGAAGAAACAGAAAACAAGAATGGAGATGTTGCTGTGTATTTAGAAAATAGGATACCTGATTGATAGATGACGTCTGAATGGAGAACTGAGATAACAAGACATGCAGGTATTAAAATAAGAGGAAAAGCCCTAAACTGATAGATGAGCTCAACACCTGGTAGAGGCCTAGGCTGAACAGTGATAGAAGTGCTTAAGCTGTGGCCCAATCATGGATGTTTTTTAAAGGTAGGGGGAAGAGGATTTGTCTGGGTTGATCACCTGTGGAAGTGAATGGCAAGTCAAGGTGGCTATATTTTGGGCATAAGCAATTTAAAAATTGCTCATTATTTATTAATAGAATAATTGAGGAAAGTAGAAATTCTTCAAAGTAGTAGAAAGAAATAAAGTAGATGAATGGGCATGTGGAATAAAGAGAATTCTGAAGATGGAAACTGTTACAATTTTAAGCTGATGAAAAGAACGGGAGGTTTGGATCCAGGTTTGGCAGGTTCAGATCCTGGCTTCCTGTCCATGTAACCTTGGGCAAAGTCAATGCTTATTAATGTTAGCTGTTATTATTTGAATTGTTAACTTTTAAAATAGAAGGTGAGCGTAGTGGTGCATGCCTGTAATCTCAGCATTTGGGAGGATGAGGCAAGAGGAACACTGTAGTTTGAGCTGGCCTACACAGCTTAGCGAGACCTAGTCTCAGTAAATAAAAAAGTGTCTTCATACTCTTAGAAAGATTTATAGTCTTAAGACTTTGTAATGACCTAAAGCCCATTAGTATTTGTTACGTGATTTTCTTGTATATTTTATATAGTAAAGGAAAAAGTATAGTTGCTTTAAAGTTGCACTTACTCAGCAGTTGAAATATCTCAGAAGTAATCTAGAATGGATGTTTCGCCTAATAGTGGTTTCTGATCCTGATTTAATGCTTAGAAAATACTGGGACAAAAAAAAAAAAAAATGAAAAATCAGTCCACTGGTTGCTACAAGGAAGGAAATTTAGTAGAAGTAAATGTTAGGAATGAAATTTAAGATCGTGTCTCTTAAGAGTTTTTCATTCATGTTTCTTAGTTATTAAAAATAAAGAAAGTATTTGTTTTCTTGGGGTTTTTTTGTTTTTGTTTTTTAATCTTAAGTTTCAGAATGATTTGGTTCTGCCTTGCCAAGGGACTCATTTAATATTTTTCAGTACTGGAGATAAATCAAACAAAACAGACATTTCCCTACCTTTATACATCTTATGGTCAGGCAGAGAAAATAGTCATAACATGTATTTGCAAGTGTTGTGGGTAACATAAAGTATAAAGGTATAAAGTACAAAAGTAATAAATACAGAGGAGCAGTTGAGAGCATAACTCAATGGAGAATGGATGCACAGGTGCATGAGGCCCTGGGTTCAATCCCAAAAAGTAAGTAGAAAATAAATGAGTTAATTTAGAATTAATTTAGAATGTCAGAGGATTCCCAACTGAGAACCTGACATTTAAATGAAGACCTAAAGGATGAATAAGAACAACTAAGTATGAATAGAGCAGCTGGACATGGTAGCAAACACCTGTAATCCTAGCTGCAGGTTCAAGGCCAGCCTGGATTACATAGTGAGACCTTCACTCTCCCACAAAAAAAGGAATTACATAAAAATTAGAGATAGTTTATATTGATAAATGATTTTTTTCCTTCCCAGAATATGAACTGAATCTGTACTTACAGATTTTGTATTCCTTTTTAAATTTTAGTCATTTCTCAGTTTTTTACATTATTAGGATGTGTAATTTGTATGTAGAAAATTTTACAATTTTGTGACCAGTAGAGAATTTTGGTTTTGGAGGTGAAATCAGACTGTCAAATTTTAAGATGAAGCTAAGGAAACAAGGTTCCATTGTCATCTTGGTACAGGTTTCTGATCAGTTGATGAGAAATGACAGCATTAATCTGAAGTCATTCAGAAAGACTTTGTTCCTATGAGTTTAACTCTAGTGTGTTATGAACTTGGTTACTTTTGTTTTTGGTCACTTTTAACATAGAGAGCAACTTCTCTGTTCTCCATTGTAAGTGTTGCATAATTGAGATAGTTTGCTCATTCTCAAATGTTTTTCTTCACTTATAAGTTTTGTTTTTAAAAATATTCATACCATTTAATGTGGTTTTGCAGGGGGTTTTTTTGTTGTTTTTTAGCCTTCCTTATAGACTATTATGTGTTTTGGATTCTTATATGTTAATTTTAATACTTCGTTGAATATTCTATAAGCCCTAACTTAGTGGTAAATGTATGAAGTAGTATAGTGATAGATGTGTTCCTTACATATTTGCAAACACGTAAATTTGAATATTAAATGTTAGTGTTGTTTTTCTTCATCTTTCCTTGTCTGATAATGGCCCTTCATTTTGATTGGAACCACAAATTAGTATTTGATGTCTTTCACTGAAAAATGGAAGACTGAAAATTAGTTTGTGTTTTCTCAGAAGTAATTTACTTCTTACATACTTAGAAGTCTAGTAAATGGTTTTTTGTTTTGGGTTTTTCCTTGTGGCTTTTAAACTTTTGATGTTTTGGTGGGGTTTTGCCTTGGTTTGGGTTTTTTGGTAGTTATTGGGAAACTAGAGGCATGAAAATGTTAGTGGGGACAGAGCAGCTTAAAGAAAATGTTAGGAATCATGGGAATGAAAAGGATCTGTTGAATTAAAAATGTAATTTTAATGGTGTGTCCTTTTGTTTTAGCACCTTCTCAGTGAGCAGCACAGAAACTTTGCAGAGAGTAACCGTTATCAAGTTGTTGATGATATTGTGTCAAAATTAGTTTTTGATTTTGTGGAACTTGAAAAAGATACACCCAAAAAGAAAAGGTAATTTATCAACCAAAGCTTTAAATTCTGTTAAATTATTAGAAAGGGTATGTAGTTTGAGAATATAAATATGGCTAAGAACTTCTTTCCTTCCTTACTACTAAAGGTACTTAGTTTAGATTAGTTTTAGTCTGCTTGACAAGTTTAGAAAAAGTTTGTGGAATTTTTTTTAATATAGTTAATATCTTTGGTCTTGTGAGCCATACGAGCTTTTATACTTTCACTGAATATTTATGCTTAACAATACTTACTGTTTATTACTAAAGTTATTGCTGCTCATTGTATAGTAACTACACATTGACAAAATGGGTCCTGATTATTGTTGCTATAAAACTAAAATTTCTTAAGTCTTTTATATACTTACAACTAGAATGTTCAATAGGATATAGACTACTGTAAGAACCTGCAGTTCCCTAATCACTCTAAAAAAAATTCTGATTGGTAATTATATTTGCTTGTTATTCCTTGTTTTATCTTTGCCAGTATTCCCTATGGGTACAGTCTCCTAAGCTTTTCTGGACCTAAAAAGAGGAAGCCATATCAGCCTAGAGTTTTGTTTCTTAATCACTCATTTCTTCAAGGGAACCCTCTTCCCACCAATCATGTGCTGGCACTGGAACCCAGGGCCTCATATAGGCTAGGCACGAAAGAAACCTAAGTGAACGTATAAACCAAACACATACATTAAGTTAACCACTCTGGTTGAAGTGTGAGGTAAATTGTATGTCTCACTATTTTGTGTTTTGTTTTGTTTTTGCTTTTTTAGATAGGGTCTTGCTGGTTCAGGTTGGCCTTGAATTCACTGTATAGCCCAGGCTGGCTTTGAACTCACAGTGTTCCTCCTGCCTAGCCTCCCAAGTGCTGGGATTGTAGGCATGCACCACCATACCCAGTACTCACTGTTAATCTATCATATATACCATAATTGGCAAACTCGGTATAGTGGGGCATGACGGTAACCCCAGTTAGAATACTGATGGGGAGAGTGCAAGGTTAAGGGCAGCTTGGGCAACTTAGTGTATCCCTGTCAAAATAAGAAGTAAAATTGCCCCTGGGTTCCATTCCTAGTTCCATTCCTAAAATTTCTTGTACTTGTGTATAATGTAGGATTTTCTAATTACAAGCTAGCATCCCACAAATGTCAAGCTGCCCCATGAACCAAAGGGTTTTAGGTCAAATATTTGATTGAAATTGAAGAATTACTCATTTTTCATATTTAAAAGTATAAAGATACTAAGTTTCTAACATTACTATGAAATATTTTATTCTTAAAAAATGTGTGTTTCTGCCTTAGGTTTTACAATAAATACTCATTTACCACATTACTAAGGAAAATGAGTAAGGTGTTACCAAATTTTTCAGCAAAATAAAAAAATTCAGGGCAGGCCCAGATCTCATAATACTGTTTCCTTGGCTTACCTGATCAGTTTCAAACACCAAGTTCAAGATAATGATTAGGAGAGAGAAGAAAGTGGCTGAAAAGTACACTAGAGTTTTTCATCTGTATAAATTTGCAAAATGTTAAAGATATCTGTTATTTTATATTTTTAAGTTAAATACATTTCTTAAATACTTTATTTTTACTGATTTTTAACAAATTTGGTTTGGTAGCAGTTAATGTTTTCTTTCTCTTTTTTCCTTATGAAGAATAAAATACAGTGTTGGATCCCTTTCACCTGTTTCTTCAAACATGCAGAAAAAGACTGAACCAAAAGAAAGACTAGCACCACAACATATTTCTCAGAAAGATTTCAGGGAATATAATGTACAAATGATTAAGCAAACTTTTGTGGTTGAAGAAACCCAGGAACCCAAAGAACAGCTTGTGTTTATTTCAGAACCCATCCCCTACCCTTCAAATGAATCGAAAAGACTGAATGAGAAAATGATTAATGAATGTTCCATGTTAAATGCAGCTGAAAATGACACAAAACAGAATTTTACACAGCTACCTCCATGTGAAAAAAACAACCAGGAATGCCTTCTTGATATTTGTGAACATGAACTAACTATAAATGAAAATAACTTAGAAGCACTAAGGGTAGATCACTGTCCTAGTAGTTTACAGACATCTGTACAAGTTTCTCATTTCAAAATGGGTAATAATGTATCCCATCCAAAACAAAAGTCAGATACTATGCTTTTTCCCGCAAAAGATCTAAAGGAAAAGGATCTTCATTCAATATTTGGTCATGATTCTGGTCTGTTAACAACAAACAGTTCAAAAGAACACCTAACAGTAAACACAAAAATTCCATCCTGTCATCCTCCTGAGGAACTCAATGAATGTGACATCAAGAATGTGGATAATTTACCTTCTAACAAGATCTGCCGAAAAGTGAGAATATTATTAGGACGAAATAAAAAAGAAAATCTGGAGCCAAATGCTGAATCAGATAAGAAAAGGACTGAATTTCTTATTACTCAAGAAGAAAACAAAATTTGTAGTTCACCGGTACAGTCCCTACTGGATTTATTTCAGACTAGTGAAGAGAAATCAGAGTTTTTGGGTTTTACAAGCTATACTGAAAACAGTGGTATAGGCAATGTTTTGGATATTTGGGAAGAGGACAATTCAAATAATCTGTTGTCAGCATTTTTCTCTTCTCCTTCAACTTCTACATTTACTGGCTTCTAATTTTTTAAAAATATATTCATAAATGATAAGGTTCATATTCTTAAAATTTTTATAAATCTTAGGATGTTTTGCTAATTTTGTTTACAGAACCATATTTAAATGTTAATAAAGGTGATGTTTGCAATTGTTCATGGAATTGAATATCTGTTATATAAAAATAAACTTGAATCATTTTACTGTGTGCATAAGTGTTTCCTGAGGAATGTGATGACTTGTTTGCTTTGTCACTGAAGGCTAATAGTTAAATTTTGTTTTTGTTCTGTTTTGTTTTTTTCCCCGGTACCTCACGACCTTGCGCTTGCCAGGCAGACACTGTGGCACTGAGCTAAATCCCCAGCCCCCAATAGTTAAATTTTGACTGTGTCAAAATTAAGTGTTATGAATTCCTACAGTCTTATTTTATTATCCTTAAAAGTAGATTCTCATGATAACATGACATTGTCTTTTAAAACATTGAAACAAAGGAAAAATTTGATGGATACTTAGATTATTTGTAGAGTAAAATAGATACCATGAAGGAAGCACTTAACTTGGCTTCTGTAGACAATACATTTGCCTTAGAGTTTAGGGTTGAACTTTTTACAACTAATGACATGTATTTTCACAGTAAAAAAATTGCTACTGTTTACTGTTAGGTGAATATATTGTCACTAAAAATTACATTTGGGAATACTTTGTGGCTCCCAGTACAGGATTAGTTCATATGCTTTCAAGCATGTATTATTATACCAGTACCTTAAGTAGCATCAGTGTTGTCCTTGCAGTAAAAGGACTTGTTTATATTGTAGATTACTGTTAGAGCATTTTCTGTTACAAATGTGTGTATATGTGAATCAGGTTTTGTAGATGGCCTCAAAAACCTAGAAACTACCCAGGTGTGATTGCACAAGCCTGTAATTCCAGCACTTTGGGAGGCTGAACCAGAAAGATCAAAAGTTCAAGCCCAGCCCAAGTATCTTAGTTACTTGATTCTGTTTCAAAATACAAAAAAAAGACTGGGGGCATTCCTCAGTGCAAAGGCCCTGGGTTCAAGCCCTGGTACCAACAAAAGAAAAAGCTTACAGACTTGTAAAATTTGTAGATTTTTCTTTCCTCTAGTCATTTCATGTTCCCTAAAATTTCCCTAGTAATTAAAAGATGTAAATTTGATCTTTGATATTACAGTACTAGTTTCTGCAAAGTGGAGTAGTCTTTGCCTCCCAATACTTTGGCATTTTGCCTTGGTTATATTTAATGAGAAGATGAAGTGTCCAACATTTGAACTGTATTTTGACATTATGAACTATTTGGTGGAATTTTAAAACAGCCCTAAGACTTTCAAAACGGGAAGTTTCAAAAAAAATGATTAAATTTCCGTTTACTTGAAGTCTTCCCTGTTACTTGTGTCAAGTAGTGTGCCTTTGCCATGAGGTTATGTCACCTAAAGGTAGAAATGCATTGCTAATTTTTACCAAGGATTGGCAAGGTGCCTTTGGTTGTCTGCCCAGAGTGCCCACCTTCCCTTTTAAAATTTTCTAATAGCATTCAATTCCGGTTTGGTTTCTAGGTTTGCTCACAAAAAGACTTGATCTTTAAGGTAGCAAGCCACCTTCAAAGTGGGACTCTTCAAAGATCTTCAGCAAGGGTAGATAGGCAACTTGGTTTGCTTGACGCACTTTGCCAGTAGTGTCCAGGCAAATCAGAAATCTTTAGTAAAGCACATGACAAGTGCAATTCTGGTACCGAGCAATGAAGGTGAAAAGTGTTAGGGGAGAGACCCTAATTAATGATCACCCAAAGAAGCAATACAGCATGCAAAGGTGATGGCTCTTCCTTTCCTGGAAGAAGTGCAGATAATGTGGTTTTGTGACCCAAAAAGTTGACATTTTCCTGAGGTAAATGGGAATTGACAAATTGTAGCAAAAAGTAATTTACACATTAGGTGTTTTTTAAAGCCAATAACGTTTTTGCATGCATAGTTCAGTATTGTGTCTGATACTAAAATATAGGACTAGTGATAACTCAGTTGTCAAACTCAATTTGTTCCAAATTCATGTTGGAACACCAAAAAGTTCTAAAACAACATATTTTTCCCATAAGAAATAATGCAAAATAATTGGTTCTGAGGCCCAGAAATTACACTTACAAATGCTTTTTCTTGACCTTTCACCCAAAGTTAACAGCTCTAGAATTTGGAAATACCCCTTAAAGCATATAAACATAACAAATACAGTACATTAAATATCAAAAATAACAGTAAATGAAAATTTTTGTACAGGTATTTTACCTTGAATTGGAGGCTTCCTGGCCTACAAAGCTGGAGAGAAATTGGAGGAGGAGGAGAAATGTATTTTGGAAGGAGAGTCTCATTTCCTTCCATAATGATCATTGGCAGTATCTTTTCTGGGGTTTTCTTTCTTGGTCTTTTTTACCTTTTCTCACTAAAAATTTGGGCAAGAGTGCTTAAACTGAAGTGTCAGCCCTTTGTGTCCATGACACACGATTCTCTTGGCCCATACAGATTTTTTCAAGTTGAATTTTTTCGAACTTTGCTGTTGGAGCGGTGGAAAGTTGAAGCTTGGAACCGTTGGACAAGCAAGCATCTGCTATGTATGTGGATGTTCCTAATGTTTGCAACTCCTAGAAACCGCTAATGAATGTGAAAACACTATATATCCTTAAAATAGGAACAGGAAATAAAGGGTTATATGTGGAAAATTTTTACCTAAAAACGCTGAACTTGGATCCTATATTTCAGGAAATGTAGGACTATTTTAATTTTACCAGGTAAATTTGAATTTTTAAAAACTTGCTAGAATGAATGTGTAGTTACTTATTTCTGCCATCTAGAGTATAGGTTTGAGCTGGGCATGGTGGCACACACTGGTAGTCCCAGTACTCCGGAGGCTGAGGCAGGAGGATCGCTGTGAGTTGGAGGCCAGCCTGGGCTACAGAGTGAGTTCAAGACCAGCTTGAACTGCGTAGTGAAACCCTGTCTCAAAAAGATGCCTCCCCCAAATATATATATATAATCTCCTCAAGTAATTGTCATATATTTAAATTTCTATAAATTAATTGCCTTTTATGTCACTTTTCAGTCGTAAGTTATTCCAATGATGTTTTATTAATGGAAATGTAAAAGTAACTGGCCTCCTAGGGAGACCCTCACTAGGTTAGCTGGATCTTAAACCATGAGAGTGTCATCTAAAAGGGTCTAAAACAATGCAGTCATGGAGTAGATTGCCAATACAGAATATTAACTGGGCGCATATTACCTTATGTCACAATCACTATGCACTTGCATGCATTATAATCTTCGCTAAAACAAATGTATAATACACAGCTCATGTGTTGTGATTATATTATTTGTTATGGGGAAAGTGGCAAGGAAAATTGGGATAGTCTGAAGAAAACCAAATGAAAGGTTAATTTAGTCTTTTATCTGTCTTAGTTATAGGGATTATTTAGTAGTGTTACACAAAATGTCTGGCATCCATGTTTTCATGAACTGCAATCAAGAAATTCCCCTTTCTGCATACAAAAGCAACATTGTACTCATCTGTCCACCTGTGCAAACTACTGACTACACTGGTTAAAAAGTAACTGAAAAAGAACTTAGTCCTTTACAATAATCTTTCCATTAGTTAGCAATGATTTGTAGGTAGTATCAGAGGGAAGTGGCCTACATTAAATCCTATACCCCCACCCAAAATGAGGAAGAGCTCTGGGCAATTAGCATGTAAAAATAATTTGTTAGCAAATCATTTTTTTGGGGGGGGGCAACAATTTCTTTTACTGAGTAAAAGAAAAAGACGAATTTTGGACTTTGGGAGAATAGCATGAAGACAAAATATACAACCTGAACAATGAGAAGAAATCAAGAATTGGATTAAAACACACTGAAGGATCTCTCACAATGTATAGGAACAGAATTCAAAATGATAAAAGTCTAGTAGTTTATTTTACAAGGTTGTAAATTGTAGTTGGCTTTTGGTACTTTAATTGTCCCACAATATTTTTCCCACCTGCCCAAAAATCCAAGTTAATGCTTAAATGACTATTCTGTCAAATTATCAATTTAATAAAATCAAGAAGGCAGCATCTGTAGACATTTCCTTTAGCAAAGATGATTTTGGTTGGAGTTTAAAATTATGCTGACCATATGCTTCAGGGTATATATGTGTGTTTTATAATATATATGCTACTCTACTAACACATAAATTTAAAATGTTAGAAACATTTTAAAGAACAAGTGTATGTAGTATTCTTCAAATGTTCTATTATTAGTGACACCACATTCTTTTTGCTCACACCAAAACCATGGTATTAAAATACTTTCAAAGCTGGGTGTGGTGGTACACACCTGTAATCCCAGCACTTGGGAGGCTGAGGCAGGAGGATTGTTGTGAGTTCGAGGCCAGCCTGGGCTAGAAAAGTGAGTTCAAGACCGGCCTGAACTGCACAGTGAGACCCTGTCTCAAAAACACCAAAAAAATTTGAAAATTAAAAAAAAAATACTTACAAAACATTAAAAGAAATTAAATTAGCTAGATAGCCAAGTCTTTATGCATCTTCCTTAAAATTTTTTCCTGTTTTGTGAAAATTCAAATTATATCAAGATTCAGTTTGTTATGATTGTTATTACTCAAAAACAGAGAAATACTTAGATCCAAAAGGCAACTAACTTACATTGTTAGTTCTGCCTGCTAAATAATACTAATTTTTCAGCTTTTATTCTTCAAGCAGACCAAATTTCCACTGATATCTATGTAGTAGGTTTCTATATTTCTGAATTCAGTTTTCAATTGATTGGTATTTATTCTGTTTTTTTAAGCAAACAAGTATTTTGGAAAATATTTAAACAATACTTTAGAAAATTCCATTTATGAGTTTGAGGATTTTTATAGTAATGTGTGTCATTTTCAGTAATAACAATGGAAATATTTCCAAATATCTACTTCCAAAATGCTCTCACTATATTATGACCATTTCAAAAGCAGTTACTTACTGTTAACAGGTATGTTTAACTTGAAGGGATAAATGGAACGGTTTGTTGCCCTCCCTAAAACAAAGCTCTTCTGAGGCTCCCAAATACTGCATTAGATACTTCTAAAGTTGCATAAAACCTTTTCTTTACCCTATCTTATGGCTTTTCATATGGTATAAAAATTGAAATTGACAAGTATGCACAAAGGTCTGTAA